GAATATTCTAAGGATATTTTGTCGTTATAAAATTTTTAATAGGGCCTTTGTTTCGAAGATACGGGGCGAAAAAGAATCTCGCAATAACAATTTTGGTAATTTTTAAATTATTAACGTATCCGAAATAAAATTATAGCGTACTACACGGGACCTACCAAGTAATGAAAAATCAACAACATTTCTTACTACAAACGGTTGAAGACATTCCATTCGCTGGGTTAACGCAATTAGAAACGATCCTGGTGTTTTTGAAAGAGTTCGGAAGACGATGAGGAGAAGATTGGATTGTTGCATCTGAGCAGGGGGTAGTCATTTTCAACAGTTCTTATAGATTAAGAAACAGTATATGTAATTTTTGGTAATAAATTGTTATTATCGAAATTCTTTTTCTCTCCATATCTTCGAAAGAAAGCGCCCTATCAAAAATCATCAAAGGACACAATATTCTTAGAATAGTCCAAGAATGAGCCCCTTAAATTATTGCCAAATGTTTAATAAACACACACACCAACCACATACAGAACCAAATTTAATAGACTTTATATGAAATTTCGATAATTATTAATACAGGGTGGTCAAAAAAGAAGAATATAAATGAAATTTAATAAACTGTCTAAAGTGACTTTTTTCAAATGGAAACCCTCCATTTTTATGATTTAATCTTATTAAACATTAAAAATAAGGGTAACTTTGTAAAAGGATACCTATTCCGAAAATTAGTAGTTTTTGAGATATTTGCAATTCAATATTTTTCTATCGACAGAATACTTACTATAAAGTTTCCAAATTATGTCAGTTGGCCATGACGGCACAGCATTAGAAAACAATTAATTGATATGATAATGTCACTACTTGTCATTTGTAAATTGTCAATAATAAATTATGCCGGGACAATTAAATTGAAGATGACAGCACAGCCAGCTATCGAAAGCGATAGCATATAAAAATAGAAGTTATAAAGCTCCAAATTCTTTTTGTGACATATGTTACTATTAAAATACTGAAAATAAAGGAAAATTTGTTGCATCGTTCAATATACAGGGTGTAACATAAGTACTTTAAAATATTCAAGTGACGTATTCCTGAAACAATTTTAAGAACTATTAATTGACAAATTCACAGTTCGGAGTTTATAAAGTGATTTTTTGGTACCATGCCCGACTTTACGAATGCTGAAATGGCTGATATGGTTTTTGCAAAAAGCTAACAAAAAAATTAAATTTCAACACACCGTATCTCCGAAACGAAGCATTTTCGGATACAAGTTCATATAAACTTTTTTTCTTAAAATTGTTTCAGGAATACGTCACTTGAATATTTTAACGTACTTATGTTACACCCTGTATATATAAAGAAAACGGATCGTGACTGTTATCTACATAATTCTGAAGACTATCGCGAAGAAATACCTACATATAGAAAAACTACTTCCTCGGCTAATACCACGGTGGATATTGAATTATATTCGACAGACATTTATGCAACATACCTCACAGAGGAGTCTTGCAGATGGTTCTCGTTCATACAGCAGCAGGAATATGCTGAAATCAATGAAGTAGTTCACCTACAGACTCCTCAGTGCAGGAAAGATCTGACCCAAACAGCAGTGTGCCTGGACTCGATTAATTTCAAAGCGGCTCGACTGCATTCATGAAACCGTCGTCTAAGAGAAAGACTGTTAACTAGTAACAGTTCCATCTCAAGAACAAAGCCCCAAACGGGAAAGAAACCAATACTTTAAACAGAAATTAAAATAATTCTGTATGGACTGTATCGAGGAGAGATATCTACATATGAGAAAATAAATATTTTGAAATAGAAATCTCAAAACATTCATCTCTCCCAACATACCTACACCAGACATTTACCAGAACCTACTGTGTAGGTATGTGTAGGTTCTGGTGAATGCTTGTAGGTTATAAGAAAAGGGAAACAAAATTCCATACCAACATTTTGAAATGGTTTTGAGGGTGTTTCTCTGTTTTCGGCAACAATTCCATTGAGTTAATAATTTGAATTCAAATTATTCAAGATTTCTTTTCTCTCTTTATGGGTGTTCTATATATGTACATGAATCACCATGTATACTTGCTGTGACCATATTATACCCTTTTTGTGATTGAGTAAATACCGTCTGCAATATTTAGATATGATCACAGACTTTTCACCATGTTCTGAAATTCTACACAAAAATCATGAATATCACCTTCGTTGTTATCAATTCAAATGAATAACGAGATGCAATTTTCAAGCCACACCATGAAAACACAGAGAACTACAATCCACCTTACCACAGACAACCCTAATACAGATATCCACCCAGAAGAAAAAAAAATACAAAGAGGCATCTTCCAGAACGATTCACAAAGCATACTTTGTTATTGCCTCTACCTAAATCCCATACCAAAACTACTAAACAGCGCTACGTATGGTTTTCAAATTAAAAACAGAAGAACACAACCACTTCATTTATATGTACATGGACAACATCAAGCTATACGGAGCAACACCAACCCTAATGAAATACCTCATCAAATCAACAGAAAACATCGCAGCTAAGACATTGGGATGAAATTCGAAATAGAAAAATAAAAATTTCTGTGAATCGAAAGTTATTGGACCTTCTGGTCATAGCACCGTGTACTTTCAACAAAGGTTTCTGGTTCAGCAGTCCAAATCTCATCCTCATTAGTCGTAGGGGCTGCTGGGGAACTGAATACTAAACCAGAAGAAAATAGATAGAAACTGAAAACATAAACCGCGAATATACAAACCTCTTCACAAGAACACGAAACTCACAAATACCTCGGATTTCAACAAATCACTGAACTGGACCATACAAAAATAACACTACAACCAATTCAAATATTTAACACCAAACTTACAACCATACTAAAAACTCTAGAAACATAATCAAATCCATCAACACATAATCAATACCTCTGCTCACTCACTCCTTTGGAATAATAAAATGGACAAACACTGATACAGAAAACATCAACAGAATTAAACAAACCATGCTCACCAAACACAGAATGCAGCATCCCAACTCAGCAATAAAAATAACACTACCAAGAAAAATAGGAGGCAAGACTTACTTTATATAACAGAAATACATACAAAAATGTAAACCAACCATACATCAATAAACAACTCACATACAAATGGTTAACTCAAGGACAATTTCATTTCGAGGCAGAAGGATTCACACTAGCTATACAAGAGCAAGTCAATCCCAAACTACAAAAAAACAGATAATGAAAGACTGAACCTCCACATCAGACAATTAGAAAGCCACCAACATACAGAAATAATAGAGCATATTATAAATGGATGAAAACTTTTAGGCGGAACAGACTACACAGAAAGACATAACATCGCAACAAAAAATTATACACCAGGAAATAGCAATAAACCAAAATCTAACTGAAAAACAACCTTTTTACCAATATCACCTACATCAACTTATAGAAAACAATGAAATAAAACTATACTGGGACACGACCCTCCACACAGAGCAATAGCACACAACAGACTGAATATTATATACACACTCAAGCAAAAGAAAATCAACACCTCATAAACATAGCTTTTCCAGCACAGGCCAATATTGAACAGAAAGAAAAATAGAAAAATGCACACCCTTAGCTATAGGGATGAAAGATATTTGAAGACAAGAACGTCATCATGTCACCCACAGGAATTACACTGCAATCTTCAACCTGCAAAAAATAAACAACCACCTATCCATACACACACACGCGCGCGCACATACAAAAAGTACACACGCGCACATACAAAAAGCAGAAATAATAAAACCTCTAACAGTCGGTTAATTTTTAGAACCCTCAACTTCAAAAACAATAAACCTTCCTTTCCCTTGGATTTATCCCGTGCAGGAAGCAAATACCAATCCCGTGAAAAAAGTATTGAAATGATAAAAATAATAATAATACTTCCAATCTACATGAAAAGTACAATTTAGATTGAAAATAAGAAACAAAGATCAATTTTTGTGAGTGGAGATCCCACAAAATTCAACTCGACCTCCTGTGATAACAGAGTACTTTCAAGTTTTGAAAAAATTGAATAACAAATCGAGTTTTGGAAGAAATGTTCCATATATTGAATAAGTATCAAACAAGAATTTTGTACATTTTGAATAAATCTTTTATACTGGCTTGTTGAACCTGGCCCATAGACAGTATCACCATATTTGATAATAAATAAAATCAATGTTTCACACATAATTCTTTTGATATCAGGAGTTGAAACTTGCCCATTTCCGTAAATAGTTTTGAAGGTGTAGGCTCTTTTCCATAATTTACTTATATGTTTATCAAATCTGATATATGAGTTAAATATGACACCTAGACTTTCAACTTCATTAACCAGCTAAAGTAAGTACATGACAATCCACCATAATTTTGATATCAGAACAAATATAATAATTCTTAGGTCCGAATACAATAATATTGGTTTCACTAGCATTAATCATCAGACTGTGTTCAGAAGCTGATTTAATAAATGAACTCAGTTCTTTACTGATTTGTGTACTGCCTACATCTCTTTCAGAAAAAGGAAAGCTGTAGTGAATTTGGGTGTCGTCTGCGTAAAGATGAATAGTACATTTATCAAATACGTTAAAGAGAAGACATGTGTATAGTGAACAGCAGAGGGCCCAGAATGTATCCTTGTGCAACTCTCGACTACAGTTTCATCAATCGTGGCTGCCTGTTATCAAAACCAAGTCTCTGTTCCCTTATAATGATACGTATTCAAGTAACATTTTATGAGATTTTCAATGAACAATTTACAAAACCACAACACACGTTTCACTTTACAAAAGGGAACAACTATAAAGCGAGTTTTATCTCATTTGTTGGAATATGGAAAATTCGCAAAGTTTCTTTGATGTACTCCTAATAGAGTGAAGTGAGACCAATACTAAAGGTACTCCGATACCATATAAGGTCACACTGAAAACTGCATTTCGATCATCATTCAAAGTGGATGTTTACCCACCTGAAGTTATCGTTTCGTTCTTCTCTTGATCTGTAGTGTTTCTCCAAATCAGGATGAAATTGTATATACTCTCCAGGCCTCAAAGGTGAAATTATTTTATTTTTCAACATTGTTTTTTTGTAATCTTTTTCATTTTTCCTTCCTGCATTCCCAGTGATTCCCTCCCTGCTTCCACTTCTCCGTTCTCTGAGGTTTTCAACACTTTTCCTTATGTCTAGACTTCTACTACGCCGGACTTTTTCAGAACTTCTTCTTCTTCGATCAGGACTATTTCTCCCAAGAAGGCTTCTTCTTCCAGTACTTTTTTCTCTGGGACAGTTACTTCTTTGTCTCATTGAGTAGCTTCGACTTCTAGGTGAGTTACTGCTTTCTCTTGATGACCTACTTTCTCTTTTCACAGAGAATGAACTAATATGATTATATATCTGAGTACTTCAGAAAAAAAAAATCAAGAATTATTTGACTGAATTTTATTGAAAATGGGGTGTATCAATTTTATTCAAAATGGGGTGTATCAATGAACAGTGGAAGACTTCTCCACAATGACATGCACATCGATTTTTCATATTGAAAGTCAGAAACTCATATTTCATTAGAAAGTAACAAACCTGGTTATTTATACTTCCTAATAAATATTTTCTCTGGCACAATATTTCAAATATTCCAAAATGAAATTTCATTTTATTCTACATTTGATTCTCCTTCTTGCTGAAATTTGACATTACTGACAGAAAATTGGTTGATGGTCAACAAAGGTTTAAAAAATAGTAACTTGCAGTTTCATCTGTTTCCCAAACCCAACAAAAATCGTAAGAAATGCTTGAAGCTATTTGGGTACAAGAATCCACAAAAAATTTGCCAAAGTTGCTCCTTTCCTCTCATGCAGACCTACAACTTTGTAGCTACATGTGGCAGATACCCAACTGAAAAATAACAACTAACCCAGCTAATGTTGCGCAGAGAGTTGAAAAAAACCATCAGGCACCTGTGCAACGTCTTCGACTTGGAAGATTTGTCGCAAGTTATTTCCCACTATGAAAAGCAGAAATTAATTTCGTTTGGTCGATCCGGCCAGTAGACCGGTTTCGGGGTGTTTGCCCCAATATCAGTACCGGGCATGGTCTCTTCAATAATAATACATGTAATACATCATGCCCGGACAATTAAATTACACAAAGGAAGATTATTTTAATTTATTTATTATTTTTGGAGAATGTGATAAAGTTATTTCAAGGAAATGCGATACATTTGCGACCAGATTTCCGGGAAAAAAGACCATCATCAAATACTGTCAAGAAAATTAAACAACATAAGTGCAGAAAAATAAACCAGTAGTTAACAATGAAAATATTGAAATTGCAATTTTGGGATATTTTGCAGCATACCCAAGAATATCTACTAGATAAGTAGCATTAAAATTGGGAATATCTCCGGCATCAATACTAAGAATTTTACGAAACCACAAGTTTCATCCATATGACTTTTCCAAAGTTCAACATCTTAAAGAGACTGACTTTTCACAAAGAGTAGATTTCTGTGAATTCTATAATCAATTAATAATCAGCTGCAAAATATGTTTTATGATTAATGAATAGCCAACAACGGACCACATCATTGGCCACTCCGCTCCCCAAATCTGACAGAACTCAATTTTTTCATCTGGGGAACAGTCAAAAATAATGTTTATAATACCGCAGTAACCACCAAGGAAGATTGCATGGGAAGGTTCAGAATTGCATTTGAAGAACTTAACTCTCAGTCAGTCAGTAAGGAGAGCAACCCAAGCAGAATTACTAAGAAGGTGCGAGAGAAATGTCTAGAAGGGCATCAATTTGAACATTTGGTAAAATAAGTTTTGTGACTCTTCATTCTATTTGAATATTTTCTTTGATAACTAATTAATTTACCTCCCCCCATGGCGACGGCCCTGCTCAAGTATGATTTCATTGAATTCAAGGCTACACCCATTATACCATACTGTTCAAGCTTAATAATTAAGAGGTCATGATTAACACTATATTTGAACACTATATATATAAACATACAGCTCAAAGAGAAATTTACTGAAAATTTTAATACTGCAGGATAAGTCTTCTCTTGTATAAACAATATTGAATGAGAACCTTCCAATGAAAGATGAAAACTTAAATATGTGAATTGAGAACTTTTGCTCAAGATAAATCAATTCAGGTAAATTTTTTAATAGTGTAATACTAGAGTGTTAGCTCTCACTAGTGTAATGATGCATAAACTCAAATAAAATTCATTCTATTACCTGTATCTAGATAGTTTGAATGATCACTGTTCGAATTCGATGAATGGGGCATCTTGTTAAAATACTGATTGCCTTCAAAATCAAAACAGAAATATTGTTGGTATATTTTTGAGTCAGATTTTAGAATAAATGTTCTTCCTTTTTGATGTTCCTGGAACAGTATTGAAAGCAAATAAAGCTATAGAGAAACAGTCTGTTACTGAGCTTCGAAGGTGGTTAGAATGAAGAATCCTCAAAAAGGTAAATATATTTGCTGATATAGAACGATGCTAAATGTTTACTTTTAGTGTATCAGTGAAGGAAGGCAATGCTGAAAGAATTTTCCTTGGGTTTGATAAAAAAATGATATGATGTTAAGCTCAATATTATCCAACTGTTGATTTTAGCTAAAGTCAATAAAAATTTGTTTAGAAAAATCCAGAGAATGAAAATTGTGAGCAAAGCTGACATATTCGTATAAGAAATCTTGGGAAATGATTTGCTGAATTGTTATGAGAGAAAGTATTTGTGACACGAAATTGCAACTGGATCTATTAAAATACTGACCATTTTGGTGGACATCCCAAAAGTTCTCGATTTATATATTTAGAATTTTCCTCTTCTAGCAGAGTGCTGAGGTTCAATATTAATTTATCAAGAGAAGATTACCCTACAGATTTAAATTTCCCATTTAAAGACTCTCGTTTCCTCATAGCATCAAGCATTGGGTTAGCTTTGGGAAACAAATAAAATTAAAATTTCATAATAACCATTTTCACACTCTTAATACAGTAAATTTCAGCAACATGTACGTTGCAATGAATAACAAAACATCCTCTGAAATTCGATAATCACACAAGAAAATGAATGTGCAAATATTTCATATGAGAAAATAATAATGAGCAGACCTCATTTCAAGAAACAGAATTTATAAAAAATTCAAAACATGAAGAAACTGTTAAACATGTTACATGTTAGTACAATCTGAGATATCTTCAGATCAACTGATGAAGCAACTTTCAGAACAAATGTAGTAACACTAAACACTGCATTTTTATCATCATTAAAATTGATATTTACCCACCTAATGTTATCTTTTCGTTCTTCTCGTGATCTGTTTCGTTTCTTCAAATCAGGATGAAATGGTATATACTCTCCAGGCCTCAAAGGTGAAATTGATTTCTTTCTGAAACATTTATGTTCAGAATATTTTTCTTTTTTCTTTCCTGCACTCCCTGTGGTTCTTTCCCTGCTTCCACTTCTACGTTCTCTGTAGTTTTCAACACTTTTTCTCATGTCTAGGCTTTTACTACGTCTGTTTCTTTCAGAGCTTCTTCTGCGATCAAGACTCTTTCTACGATAAGGACTTCTTTCTTTACCTTTTTCATTGGGAGAATTATTTCTTGTTCTTGGTGAGTTACTTCTTTCTCTAGATGAGTTACTTCTTTCTCTTGGTGAGTTACTTTTATTTCTTGCAGAGCTTTTTCTGCTTCTATAGCTAGCTGGACTTTTTGATCTACTAGGAGTCTTGGACCTTGTTGGTCTTGAACGCTCTTGATCCAGATGTTCTGGTTGATTTACAACTATACCTTTCCTATCGAAAATTGATCGTCGAGTGTGTTGCCAATCTGAAAACGTTCACTGAATCTCATATCCCTCAATTATTGTTATTACTGAAGTTGACAATGAATAAAAAACCTTCGGCAATGGTATACTCAGAAAGTAGTAAAAACTTCAACAGTTAAAATACTATTCGTAATTATTGTTAAGCTTTATTCACAAAAAAAATAAATATATTAGTTTGTGGTTGAAACCTTCTTTCAAGAGCCAAGAAAGAAATGATTAATACTAAAAACATGAACAGAAAGAACCGTAAAACTAATCATATTAAAAATATACCATCGCCAAGGAAAGAGAGAATGTTAGAATATGAATGTTTCTTCTTAGTATCTTCGTTCTTCTTTCTTCAGTTTCTTCTTCTTCTTTTCAAGTTTCATTGACAAATTATGCAAAAACTAAAGAAAAATCAATACCTTACCACTCGAGATTTGGTGTTTGAGTGATAAATTGTTTTCGCCTGAATAAAATGAAATGAAATTGTGCACTACCGATGAAATAGGCAGGCACGGAAAGACGGTTATTAAAACATAATAGATAAGAGTACTAATCATGAGTTTTGAAGATTGAAAAACTACTGAGAAAATGAATTATCACATTATTCATTACTTCATAAAAAAATCTCAAAAGTTAAAGCAATTCACTGTAAATATAAACGTTTGAGAATGAAATATTATTTTAATAGAAAGTTTGTAATTGAAGTAATTTGAATAAAACAATGCTTTTGGCATATTCTTCTTTCCCAGTTTCTTCACATCTCCAGGGAATGAAAACTACCTGTAAGAGGTTGTGGATTTAAAATATGGAATATTTGAAAGGAAAAATAGAATTACCTACTTATGAATAAAAAATAGAAGAATTACTTACCTTTATTGTAGCTTCTAATTTCAACCGGAGGAACTGTGAAGGAAGTGTATACTGTGCGGCATCTGTATCTTCATACAAGGTTTCTTGATGTGAGTTAACTGAGAAGCTGGAACTACTATAGAATTGAGATGAATCTTTAACCAGTTCATAAATGAAACTGTTGTCCATCAGTTTTGATATGTCTTGAATCAATAAGTAGGCCTATATTAAAGAACAACACCTTGTTTCTGGGTGAAGAAGGTATAAAAAATATATTGACAATAAGTTAAGAACTATCTGTTCAGTTTCCAAATTTGCAAAGTAAATTAACCAACTGATACATAGGTATGAAGCGTTATACTTCTACAATGGTGTATTGTTTCTGAATACTTTTCCCATTCACTATCATTGCACCAATAAATTAGATGGTAAAATAGCGCCTGTTGGTACGTTCACAATCCCCAAAACACTTAGATCTAGGTGTGTTATTTAAAAGAAGTTGAAGTTTGAATTCTCCCAAGAAAATGATCTCAGATTTCTCAGGTATAACTGATAAGAAACCTTTGTTTCTATTCGAATAGTTAGCAATGCTTCAGATGTAGAAACTACTATAAATTCTCTAGTTGATATTTGAACACCAGGTGTATTGCTAGCAATATATGTTTTCCCACTCGGGTCAAGTGTATTGGTGTATGATTATTATTTTTTTTATTGGTGTAACACTAGCTAACCTATTCCGTTACTTCAACATGATAACTTTTGAACTCTCTGCCTATACATGTACATAAGCATATGTAGTTTTGGCCTGACACGCAGAAATCTATGATTCATAAAATGTAGGCTAGTTGTGGAAAGATCTAACAGATTATAATTATAATTTTATTAGTATTCAATGCAGATTGCATCAGTTACAAATGAGATATGTGAAACTGAATGAAAAAAGTTCGTAACATACAGTTGGTCAGAGTCGACCAGAACTCAAATTCACCATTGGAGTTTTACGTTTACGTTTATATATCAATTTTTTCAAATCAGCCATCAAAGTGGTAGATAATTTACCAGTTTTACAACAACCACATATGTTTAATAACCAGGAAGCAAATTATGATTTTATTTAGAAATTGAACAAAGCCTGTCATAAGGAACGTTTTCATTAAATTTATGTAGTATCTAACTTCACAACCCTTGTTCCACGAAACTTTCAAATCCAAAGATAAATCAAAATAATATCATCCATACCCTGCCACAAGTGCACTAAAGGGCTAATTAACTTTGGATCGTCTATACTTCTTTCAAGTTGGCCTGGGGGTCCTGGTGAACTGATATTTCTTCTCCTGATCACCACATGAATTTTATTTTGTTTACCAATTAGAGTTCTTTTCAAGCATGGAACACCTTCAGTCTCTCTGAAATTTTGATATAGTTATTAGTATTTCAGGGATATAATATAATAAATGTAAACTTACCTCGATCTAGTATTTGAGTTTTTTGACATCATGAATAACTAGAACTTTTCAACTCTTTTCGTAAATAAAAATCTACATTACATTTTACAGCAAGTTTGTTAACTAACACAAGCTCATACAAACGAAATCATAGACAAGGCTTACTTTATTGGGTTTGTTTTGGTTCTGTATTACGAACTTATTAGACAATGGTTCAATATGGATGAATTATCGATGGGCAGAACACAGATCAATTCTGTAACAGTTCCGAACAGTTCTGTCACAGCCAGAAATAAAAAACGATGCGTAGAACACTATGGTCACAGAAAATATTACATAGCTACCCTACAGATCAGTTCTGTAAAAGTTTCCTGAAATGAATAACGATAACAGAAAATCTGTGTTTCTGTAATTGATGTTTCGTACAAAACTGCAAATGCTGAAGTAGATAAAATAAGGAATAAAGAATGAGCTTAAATAACGATGCTACGATTCAGACACAGAATATTGCTTTGTATCCTATGACCGAGCCACTTGAAAAATTACATTCATTAAATCAAGCAATTGCGTGTTTGCCAAATTGTGAAAATATAAATACTTTCCAGTCGAATTCGACATTTCTCTGAAACGAATTCAAAGGTAATGGTTATGGCGGCATATATAATTTGAAATTAAAAAAAAAATCAATTTTGATTGAATGTGTGGAAGTTAGATTTCTGTTACTAACTTGAGATGATTATATGTTGAAAGAGTTATATTTTGGTGGAAGGTTGTTTGACCCTAATATCAGCATCAGCTTCTATCAAACCTCCCCTATGAAATGACGTCGCCAGTGTTTGAGATGTTAGTGTTTTGAAAAAAGAAACATGATTATGATCTGAAAGTTGGGATGATAATTGTGATTCTGAAGACGTTAATATCGTCGGAAATGAACTTGGCTGGATTATGTTCTTTAGTTCATTTATAAACCTTTTTGCTTCGAAATGGAAACCACATTCGATAACCAAAATGCTGTTTTTCAACAACTAGTAACGAATCATTTCGGCCACAAGCCATTGTTTCAGTCCGAAAATTAATTTTCACTAGTAAAAAAACATTTAGAGCTCATATGAATATCACAACTATAAGTAAACAAAAATAGTTATTCGTGTACAAGAATCGAAAATTTTAGGTGAAGCCAATGCTTATTAAGATCATTCAGCCAAGGTGCACACAAACTTGTGACGTGAGTATCTCGAGTAGGTAACATATTTTACTTTTTGTTGCTGAAAGGAGACGAAAATCTGAGAGTAGGTTCATTTCCACTATAACTTTTATGATTTTTTTTCTGAAATTCACGTAAAACCGACAATTCTGGAAGTATTCACTTTTTTACAATTCCTATAGGAATATCATGCATTTAGGCTAAAGTTCAACAGCTAGTGAAAATTGTTTTTCTGAAAAATAAAAACCCCATTTGCTCAGCAACGAGTATAAGCTAGTCATTATAAAATTGAAAAGTATTTCATTTATCAAACGAAAATACTCTTACCTGAATTATCTTTGGAAAACGCAAAGAAACTTTTTCCACTCTTCACAATTTTGTTCTTATAATTTCGTTTGAAAAATAATGTCCACTCTTCTGATTTCTATTGATATACACAAATTAAAATTACTATCCCACCACTTGGTAGATAATCATTCCCCAAAATAAACTACTAGTATAAGGTAGACCAAGAGTAGGCGAATAAGTGAATCGGACTTTCGACACGATAATTAATTACGAAACAGTGCCTTCGACTTTTCATTGCGTCCAATAAAACGTAATCCATGGCATAGAACACTACATTCTGTTTCTCTTGTGGTAAGTGTATCCATAGCTATGTGTTCCATGTCGTTTTCAGTTCAACCAATGAAAAATGAATCCTGACAAGACGGCCGCCTGTGTGCCCCAGAGGTGTTTTCTTGCTTTTGATCGTATTCGAGCGTGTTTTCAAAAACGGTTCGTAGTGACGTCATAATAATAAGATTCGCCAGAATGGAATGATTCAATTTGTGTCAGGTGTCAAATTCAATAATAGGTTTGTTCTGGTTCGAACACCCAAAACTGTTTGGAAACTGCATAAAACATGATGCGTACAAACAAAAAATCTCAAACGGTCCGAAATAGTCTCGGACACTTGTTCAAACCAGAACGTTTTTGAGGAGAGCACTGTGCCACCTATCGTATATATGAAGAGATGACGACGATAAAATACTATTGATCGTGTTCATTTTGTTATGTAGCGTATCCTTATAGTCAGTTCAGATGTTATCTACCCTCAATCATCAATTATTCAAATCAAATAAATGAAAAAACATCCTAGCAAATAGCCCAATCAAATTTCCACATGAATGCGCATGAGCAACGGGAACAGTTCTCAACAGTTCAGTCTCGAGAGCAAGAACGATTCGGGACGGTTCAAAACAGTTTAGGATCATTTCGCTGTCAAAACCAGAACAGAGGATTCACTAGTCCGAAATTATCCTCAATAAACCAGAACGCTGTATATCAACTGCGCATGATCCTGACGTCCTAGAATCTGAATTTCGTAGAACCAGAACAAACCTAATAAAAACAAACTCTTCAGTTTTCTCTAACCTCAATTAATCCTGCGTTCGACATGTGGACTTTTGTATATTTGTCGACACGTGGGGTGTGTGAGACCCCAATATGATGTTTCTATTAAAATTAACATTTTTTGCATTTTAACATAGTTGTTATGAGAATTCTATTCTGTAATATCTCATTTTGCAATAAAATAATTTTTGATTTACCAAAACGAGCAAAAAATCGTTATATTGCGTTTTTACCAAAACAATGGGTTCTTTCTTCGGAAAAAAATACAGATTTACTCGAAGAAGTCTTTTGCACATAAAACGACTAAATAAATATAAAATTGCTGGTTCAAACAGATAATAAAACATCATAAAATAGAAATAAAAAAAAAATATTATAGAAAATCAGGTCATCAACATTCTCCATTTCTACGCAAGATTTGCAGTACATTTCTGCATGGTCCAGACATATGAATTTATTGCATTTGATACAAATGTATTTTGTCTTTCGATCACGGGCACGAGGGCAATCTTGACACCTTCCTTGGCCATTTTGTTCAAGTCTTTTGGCAGTCCGTGTTTCTCGAGGGGTCCTCTCGTTTTGTACTTTTATCTCTTGATACTCATTTATCAATTCCATTCCTAGTTGAATCAGGAATTCACTTCTTTTCACTATTTTGCCAGCATTATTTTCTCTATGGAGAACCTGCGAGTTTACAGAATTCATCAATGAAAAAAATATTGTTAGAGGCCATCGTCGACAATTTCGCGATATGTTGTAAATAGATGATAATTGATCTACAGTATCTACTCCTCCTTTTGTCAAATTGTAGAAGGAAACAATCTCTGGGAGTTTTTTTCTGAGTCGTCTACGTGTCCATCGTGATGGAGATAAGACAGTATAAGGACAACTTCACCTTTTTTGGATACATATGAGAGAAGTGTGAAATTCGGTTGATATCCAAATATACTGGAGCATATTTCTCGATTTCGAGCATTTACAAAGTCCACGGGGATCTCTCTCTTGTTTTTGCGTATAGTTCCTACTGCAGTGAGTCTATGTTCTTGGTACAACTTCACAAAAAGTTCATAACTTGTATACCAGTTGTCCACAGTGATGTTTCTTTTAGTTTTTGATATTTGAGCCACCAACCTTTCCACTATATTTTTGGGACTGTTACTTACATGAAACGGTCCTTCGGGTTGTTTGATCACGTAAACCTCCATGATGAGTAAGTAGTGTGTACGGGCATCCACTAAAACATGCACTTTGATGCCATATTTGGCTGGTTTGTTCGGTATATACTGGCGAAAAGGGCATTATCCCCTAAACGCTTCTAACTTCTCATCTGTTGTCAAATATTCTCCCGGTGTATAAGCAATCTGACAATTATCCACCAACTTGTCTATTATTGCTCTGATGGCCGCCAGTTTATCAGATTCCTGTCGCTGGCGACGGTTTTCTTTTTTGTCGAAACGTAAGTACCTCAAAAGAAATTCGAAACGCCGTAGAGCCATTGTAGTACGAAATATTTCTATACCTGTTCCGTTGGTGTTCCAACGGAACAGCTGGGCACAGTTGACACAAATTATTGAGTATTTCAGAAAAAAACGTTGATGATTAATAACAGAAGGGCGTAATGCAACGTATTTATCAAAATGGTCAATGTTTTTTTCGACAATGCAAAAGAACGACCTATTTTGGTTTTTGTATTTGGAATTTGAGCAAGCAATGATTTACCATTAATTTTATGTCTTCTATTAATAAATGGCAAAGCTTTTCATGCCGGCAAGCTCCATATTTTCAGAAAATAGTAGCAACTTTTATCATCAAATATTTTTCATCTGGCGCCTCCGTATATAGCGTCTTTCACATGCACAAACAATGATGGGTCCATTGTTAGAATTAGCTTTGCCTTGGCTTTTTCATCTTTGACCTGTTCCTCTACACTGCCGTCCAAACAGCCCTCAAGTCATCTAGCACCCGATGCAGCTATTTCACCGCTCCGGGCAAAATAATATTTGCCGCCTTTTACCCATGCGTTTTTCCGCAGATGGTATAATTTTAACCTATTTTTGCCGCCCCGGGCAATTGCCCGGGTTGCCCCCTCCTAGATCGGGCATTGAAGTCATCCAACACCAGCATATTCTGCACTGCGAACGACCAGTTACTGTAATTCTTTCGGCTTTTCAGCAGTGTGAAACTGGTTGCTAATGTTAGCTGCCAAAATTTCCGAATACTTCCGAACATTCAGTAGCGTACGGAGTAAAATTTATAATTGATATCATGATGTCATGAATAAACTAGAAAAAACTTCACAGATAGAGCGGAGGGTGAAACTTCACTCCTAAATGATATCATATGATAATCATTTTGAAAACTAGAGATTGAATGTATGGGGACTTGTCAAAATTAACACTTGGAAGGAGGAATGATTATCACTGATAACGTTTACCATGTTAACTGATTTCTTTTGTATATAATTCAGTTTAT